AGGATTTCGCTTTTTTCTGTATCGAGCAGGAGCCCATCTGGTGAATCGGATGGAGGGGAGCAACTGGACTCAGATGGGGAGTCAGAAGATTTATGAAGAAAGAGAAGGAAATGTAAATCTCGACCCTGCTTGCAGAAAGGAGATAATTTAACAGTACGCAACTTCAGTACGCAGCTAAATCTAAACAACAAACAGATTAATTATTCATAACAAAATTCAATCCCCAATTATGTTCAAAAGGAAAAATGTTGCTACTTCTGTTTCCACAGACTGAAGATGATGTAGAAATCAGCAGGGTTTCCACCGCAAGTAAAGGCGAGGAGGCACCGCTCAGGTCGGCACGGCTGAGGCTGAGCACAAGTGTCCGCACCGGAGGCAAAACGGAGCCTCTCGGAACTTCGGAGTTTGTACTCTAACAAAACTGAAGCCAAGGATTTCATGTGCTCTTCTCTCCTATATTATTCCCCGTCTGTTCCCAGCTATCGACGGCTGGGGAACCTAAAGCTCTGCTGAGCCCGGCACCACTCGCCCAGGCGTGGCTGCGTAGCATGAGGGAGAGAGTAAAACCAGGAGGGCAGAGCCGTGGAGATGGGAGAGGATCGACGTTGGCTGCTTTCATCCCAACAGGGTCAAAGAAATCTGTCAGGATTTGCGAATTACAGAATGGGCAGGAAAATGATGGCTGAAGGAAAGGAAAGCCAGATTTCAAATGGAGGGGGAGGGCCTGGCTGCTTTTAATGCTGCCTGTAACCTGTACATAATCTGCTAACCTCGATTCAACAGTGCCGGCTATATTAGGCAAGAGTAAGGAAGCTGAATTATTTAAGTGGATGATTTAAATTAAATTTCCATATTTCTAAACTGGGGTTCATAAAGTTCAGTGAAAACTGAAAATCAAAATGCACCAAGTTAACAGCAGCATCTCCAATAAAAGGTAAGAATAAAGCAGAACAGTATTACAGATGGAAATCTGCTCTGACTAGAAGCTCCAAAAATACAAATTAGGTAAATGCATTAACCACATTAACATAAAAGCATAAATAGAATTAGTATAATTTTATTATATCCTTATTGTATAATAAGCCATGCACATAATTTCAACTGATGCAGTGTCCTGGTTTTGGCTGGGATAGAGTTAATTTTTTTTTTCTGGTATAGTGCTGTGTTTTGGATTTAGGATGAGGATAATGTTGATAACACACTGATGTTTCAGTTGTTGCTAAGTAGTGCTTATACTAGTCAAGGACTTTTCAGCTTCCCCTGCCCTGCCAGTGCGAAGCTGGGAGGGGGCACAGCCAGGACAGCGGACCCAAACTGGCCCAAGGGCTATTCCATACCATGTGGTGTCATGCCCAGTATATAAACTGGGGGGCATTGGCTGGGAGGGGGGAACCACTGCTCAGGAACTGGCTGAGCATCGGTTGGTGGCTGGTGAGCAATTGCATTGTGCTTTCTGTTCTATTAAACTGTCTTTATCTCAACCCACAAATTTTACTTGGTTTTTTTTCTTTTTTTTTTTTCCGATTCTCTCCCCCATCCCTCTGGGGAGGGGTGGGGAGTGAGTGAACGGCTGTGTGGTGTTTAGCTGCCTGCTGGGTTAAACCACAACATGCAGAAATTAAATACATAAATATATTAGAACCAGTAAATTACAGAAATGCACTTATATAAAAAACAGAAGCAAGAAAAACAAAGTCATAAAACAGTGGGTGGTTATATTAAGATGGTTTCTTTCTTTGATTTCTCCTCCAGTATTGGAAATTGTTAATGAAAATGTCAGATATTTCTCAGTGAAAATGAAAGATGTCAGTATTTGGAGAGCGATACATCAGTAGATCTGAGCTGAGAAACTTCCATATTATTGAAGATATCACCAGGAGTTTTGAGCCAGCATCAAACTTAAAGACAAGACTTGCTTGTGGAAGTGGTGCCGTGTGTGCCACCAGCCAACGGCCTGTGGCAGTCGCCTGGTGCTTGTGAACAGGCGCTTCCCATGTAATGCTAGCTGGATAACTGCAGAAACAATTTTCATTAAAAGCTGCATTTCACTTGCATGATTTCTAAATATAATTAAAGAAATGGGATAGAAAATAAGTAACTGCTCATTAAGTACGCAACTCCTCTTGGAAGCTATCTGCAAGCACACGAAAGCCAAGACGGTGGCTGGGATTTACCAAGGTCGCACTGTGCCCACCACCCCGGTTGGCTTCTCTTGTGAGACGAGAGGGCTGGTGAGCAAAGGCGGAGGCTTTCCAATTTGACGTCATCCAATCTGACGTCAGCAGAGCTTGCGACGCGGTAGCCAGATGGGGAGCTCTGCATTGGCTTGGGGAGGACCAGAGCAGGGTGGACGGCAGCCGGGCATAAGTCAGTCCCGCACCCTTGCAGCAAGGAAAGGGAACCACATACCAGGCAGCATCAAGAGCGCAGCTGGGAGGCCGAGCAAAGGGGTTATTCCCCGTCACCCAGTGCTCACCAGGCCACATCTGGAGCCCTGTGTCCGGGGCTTGCTCAGCGGCAGGGGAAGGCTGCAGGGAGATCCTACTGCTGTCTTCAGTGGCCTAAAGGGAGGTTTTAGGGTCAAGCTCTTCTCTGAGGAGCTCAGCAAAAGGACAAGAGGCAACAAACACAGGTGGCAGCGAAGGAAACTCCAGTGAGCTGGAAGGAGAAAGCTGGTATCTCCATGAGGGTGGTCACACGCAGGAACAGGAGCCCCGAGAGGCGGTGCAGTCTCCATCCTTGGAAGCACTAAAAACCCATCTGGGTGCAACTCTGTGCAACCTGCTGTACCCTTGGGGCCGGCCCTGCCTTGGGAGGGGGTCAGACTAGGTGACCACCACAGGTCCCTTCCCACACAGACTGTCCTGTCCATCTACGATCCTAATCTATTTTTAATTAGCAGGATGTGAACCAGAAAAGGATACCTAACACTGAAAAACCTGTGATAGTGTTGTTATATGGCAGTGTTTCTCTGGCATTTCTCTATTTGTCACTTCCAGGTCTGTTGCTGGAATTCATGAAACCAAGTGTACACTGCGCCGTCTTCAGCGTCATAGGAACGACCTGATGCTGGAGGTCCTACAGCCCCAGCCGGAAAGGACGGAGAACCCCTGCAACAGCCCCGAGCAGCTCTGCTCCTCTCTCCCCGAGAGCTCTGGTATCGCACTACCTCAGCATAGCAGTGGCTGCCAAACCCTCGGTGGCTGCCCTGCATCACGCCCGTTGCGCCTCAGCCATCGCATACGCACCGCCACCAAAACCCACGCAGGCATCGTTCTCCTTTCCTGCCCGTGCAGAGCTGCCGGCAGACCATGGAGAAGGATCGTTTTTCCACCCGTGGTTCGTGGCCCCTGAGGTCTCTGTATGAATGCCTTCCGACCATTCTGGGAGGGGTAATTCAGAAAAACAGGCCCTGTGCCCACGAGCATATGGTCTCTGCACTGGGATGAACTCTGCTGAAAAATGCTTAGAGAAAGCTAAACCTCGCAGGTTTAGCAGGCAGCACATGAGGGGTACGGTGTGTGTTATTGTAGTCCTATAAGCACCATACTTGTCAATCGGTAAGTGCTGACTTTGCTATTTCTTTATTTTCTTCTCCAGTTCTAACTGAGAATACAAAAATACAGTGTTTTATTCCAGACTGCTTCATCCAAATGAGAACATTTTTTTTTTTTTTCAGTTTGATGTCTAATCAGGACAAATCACTTGCGTTTGGTTCAGGATAGATTGATTGATACCTGCTTGCTTTGTGAGGCCCCCTCAGGAGTAGCAATTCCCCCCATTTCTGAGTGCCTCTGCTCGGCCCCGGGGAGCAGGGCTGTGCTAGGACCCCGCAACACAGCAGCAGGGTTGCAAATGGGGGATGGGGGTTTCCTGGGCAGACACCACGTTGCCCGGCCAGGGAGCCTGTCCCATTACCCTGGCACAAGAGGTGCTCAAGCTTAAACCCCCAGGCGATGTGACAGCAGAGGCTAACCCAGCCTGACACTGAACTGACCCGAAAGGGAACATTATAAAATTTCAGGAGTTTTTTATTCCTTAGATATTTTGACATTTCAACCTCTCCTCCCGTCAGGTCTGGTTAAAGGCTGCAAATCGCCTCCCAGTCTCCCCGTTGCTGCTGCCACGGGAGCCACGCTCCCCCTTCTGCCCTCCCTCTCCATCCTCTCCATCTTCTTGTCCCGCTCACAGCTCCTCCTGCCTCATCAGGCAGGTTTGGTACTTCTGGGAGGTGAGCCCATCAGGGTGACCGTGCACGTGTCCCCTTGCTTGTGTACGTGCAGGCATGCGACAGTCGTTTTGCAGTCACAGCTCTTCCGTACCCACAGTGATTCACTGGATGAGGAGAGTCTGGCGCAGACTTTGCAGGAATTTAGATGTGTTTCGCAGCATTCTTCTGAAAAGTAGCACTGCCTTTGTAAACCTTCTCTTACTGCTTGTGTTGTGGGTAAGGGCAAGACAAAACTATTTTCAGGCAGGAGGTACTGTAGTGGAAGGAAACCGTACCTTTGTTCTGTGGCAGCTTGACTTCGAAATTGAAAAGTATAAATTTTCCAGGTTTATTCTTATTAAATAGCTTGCCTTAAAAAAACCCAACAAACAGCAGCATATTCATATAATAAATAAATTCACATAATAAAGGTAGAATTGGACAACAGGACTCCAGGAGTGCAACCACTGCTAAAGAAAAGCGGCAACGAGCCCAGTCACCCACGTGGCTCAGCCCCATCCCTGAGCACGCAATGGGTCCCCTCTGTTTCATGTCACAAAAAAAAACCCCGGTGGGCTGCCTGCTGCACAGCCCTCCCCTCTTCCAAGACCTAGACCTGGAAAAGCATGCAAATATACTCATTATGTCTTTGGTGGGGCCAAAGAGGCACCACGAGGGGCCCGGAGGGGACCCAGGGCAGCGTGCTGCATGCTGTGGACGCGGGCAGCCTGCCCCCAGGCCAGGCACAGCCACGTCGCCTTCACAGCTTCACAGCAGCAGAGACCACGAGAAGAGAAGAGCCATCAAGAGTTGCACCTTCTCACACGCATGAGTACTGAGGGTAGAAATTTCCCATCGGGAACCTGGGGATTTTCCACCTCCCTGCCAACAAACTGACTCAGAACTTGGTGTTTCCCTGAAAGGCTGGAGGAAAAGTTTGGGATGAAAGGAGCAAAGATTTGTAATGACAGATTTTTTCCTTTGAGGGTTTTTCTGAACAATGAGTAAAATCTGGCTGCACAGAGCTGGCGAAAGGCCTTGATAATTTTATTCACCCACTGAATTGCACAGGAGGCCAGGGGAACCTCCCTCTTCTCGTCTCCTGCCACTTTAGGTGGACGAAATACTGGAGATGGAAAGCTGTGAGCAGAGGGCACTGATGCCTGTGTGTGGGGATGCAGCAAATGAGGAGGGCAAGTGGGGCTGAGAAACCTGCTGGAAGAGCAGGAGGGGGAAGCGCTGGTGCACAGAGCTGAAATTGGAGCTCTCATGATACGCCAGTTGCGTGGGATGGCTGAGCCATGGGCACGACCCATGTGCAGCTATAAAAAATATGGGATTCTCGTGGAAAGTTTGTGCGTGTGAGTGAAAACAAGCATTGCCTGTCTGAAGGTTTATCAAGGTGGGACGGAGCAATGGCTACTCTCTAGGCTCTGCTGGAGGGCTCCTGGCCACTGCAGTATTTGTCAGGACACTTGTTACTGACCAGTAAACATCTCATGTCCCCACAGGAGGGTTGCTGGTCTAAGCACCCTCTTGCTGTAGTCCATCAGGATTCAATCAGTGCCCGTTTTCCTCATCCGACCATGCAGGGCTGCCCATCAGTGTCCAGCACTGCCCCGATGCCCTGGCCTTGTGGCCGTTGCAGCCAGCCCTGGTCCCTTTGCTGTGCCAACCCCTCAGCCCGGAGTCTTTCGTCATGTTTAATGTACCCAGAGCTGCTCAAACCCAGACTGCTGTTTGCTTTCCCTGGCTGGTATTTAATGCCTGCATCTCTGACCTTGGGCTGGCCACTGCAGGGAAGAACAGCCGAGGGGGAAGGTCACGCAGGAATGGGGGTGGCACAAGGATGGAGGTGAGACCGTGGTGCGGCTTCCCCTCCCGGGGTGGGCAGCAACCCCGGCACCAGTTTAGAGGGGAGCCCGGGGCACGCTCTCCCACCCAGCCCAGGCACAGTGGCGGGCAGGGCCTGTGGCTGTCTTCTGCATTACAAGGTCAGCAGGTGATCAGACGTGCTAGGCTTGCTCTGCCTTTCTCATGGAGATGGTAAAGAAAATTTTCTGAAAATTTCTGAAATCTAAAATTTAGAATGTAAGAGAACGCAGCAGAAATCATTGCCAGCGCCTCCGATGGTGGAGCACGGTGAAGGGATGCTTTTCATGTCCAGGGTTGTATTTTATTTAGGAATTTGGGTTTTGGGGTTTTTTTTTGTTGTTTTTTAGCTGGATTGTGTGTTTCACTAGCAATCCCTCTCATTTGCTTCTCTCCTGTGTTTTGCAGGTTGACAAGAGAAAACCTGTCGGCATTTTTCAGACTTGGGGAACACGGTTATTCTGTGTTTGAGAATAAAGACATCAGATCTGCAGCCTGAGCAATTCAAGGGAAGAAAACAGTGAAAACATCTTGGAGTTGAACTGCACTGATGTTCCCACTGTTTCCAGCCTCGGGGCAAGTGGTAAGAGGAAGCAGGGGGTTTGGCAAAAGCGCAATGCTGGGCTTATAACAGCACAGGATGATCAGGGCTGTGGAAAAGGCAAAGCAGCCTCTCTTCAGGGCTGACCTACCACTCACCCTGGTTCTCCAGAAAGAGCTTGGCTGGCGTCCACTTTTCTGTCCTGCTCCTGTTTGTCCAAGGGCTGCTGACCCCACCATGAGCTCAGCCAGCTCCCTTCACCACCACCACCCCACCCCGCCTCCTGCGAAACTAAAGGAAATTATTGCTATGAAGACCTGCTAAATTAAACACAAAAATAAACCTAGCAAAACCCATTGATGTTCCTTTCAGACACGGTTGAGTGCCAAAGCCTGCTGTTGTGGGGGCAAGATACTACTGCTCGTGGTCTCTTTCAGATGATGGTGAGTAACAGGGTCCTTGGGAGCATTAAACATCCCATGAAACATCTCCAGCAGTTCTGGCTTCATCAACTTTCACCGAAGGGATTTCTCCATCTACGCAGACTATCACAGGCCATAGAGTTTCATGTGGCATTGCAAGAAAATAAGCCACGCGCCCAGCCAAACGCCCGTCTGCAAAGCTGCACCCTGGCTCTCGTTACACTCAAAATCTTGTTCATGGACAGAACGTATGCTCATCAAGTAAAGCCAAGAATTTATTGTTAGTTTAACTGAAATCTTAAGAGTCTAATCATTATTACTCGAAATCTAGCTGTTGCAGGAAAGAATAATGATGCAGTACACGCACTTTTTAGCCTCTACCCCTTTTCCTGATATTATGTTCCCCCTTCCTCCGCTCCTTGGGGTGCTGAGGTTAGTGGTGTCTTGCTGGTGGGTCTGGTGGGGGCTATGGAGAATCATGAGCATCTGAAGTCCTGCACCAGCAGCAAAGTGATGTCTGTGTTGATGGCTTCTTCGGCCTCACTTAAGGAACCACGCAGGGTCATTTTTACGAGCCCAGACTCAGCACACCCGATGGACCTTGCTCCTGAGACTCATTGCCAAGTCCACGGCTGGCTGATGGTGACAGCAGCCCTGTACCAGGGGCACCCCATCACCCCTGGGCAGGCCAGGCACCCCTTGGGGACCACAGCGCATGGCTGAGGGGTGTTGTGGGTGGTGGGAACCCCTTAGCTGGAGGGAAACCCCATCACATTTAAGTTATGGTGGGCTCAGCCTTCAAATCTGTCCAGGTGCACCAGGCCGGGCTTCTCCCCAGCTCTGGCCTCACCATGGCCATAGTGGCACCACCACCTTGCGAGGTCTTGCTTCCCCTTACCTTTCTCTCCTTCCTTTATGCCTCCCTGCTTCAAAGAGTGTTGAGATATTGCTTAGCCATGCTATTAATAATTTAATAACTCTTCAATCTTACTTTCTAAGCCAGTTCTCCTACACTCTGTTACTGCCATTTTCCTCTGAACTTCTGCCAGCTTGCCAGTGTCTTGGGGGTAATAAGGTGCCCAAAATTGAACGGTGTTCAAGATTTGGCCTCA